TGGATGGATGGATGGATGGATGGATGGATGGATGGATGGAACCACATTGAACTAAATTGATGTGACACCAACTGGAAGATCAATCAGACTACGAGGAAACACAATAAAAGAAGACAGGATCTTTCTCGCGCTGAAGCAGAACGTTAGCCGAGGCCTTTAAATCTGCAAACAAAATGTTTTACGCACCGAGTCAGTCAAGTTATTTCAAGTCAGCAGAACCAGAACCTGAGAGACGCTCCGACACTGGAAAACCCACCCATCCTGATTTGACCTCAACATAATCCAGCAAAGTCAGCTTAACTAAAAACAGGGTCAGGATGTGAGAACTGGATCCGTGCAACATGAGAATCCTGCAGAGAACACCATCAACGCCAGCAGCACATGGTCCTCCCCGAAGCCTGCAGAGAAACGGCGAGCCGGACCTGACGGCAACGCCGCTGCAGGCGGGTCCACGGCTGCACAACAGCTCCAGCAAAGCTAAACTTCTCTGCTCACCTTTCAGGTTCTTGGGGTGGTTCTGCTTGGTGCGTGGCATCTTTTAGCCTCCAATCACAGATGCATCTTGGGGTTTATCGTCTAACCTCGCGGGGAGCAGACTCCTGAGCCTCAGTCCGGGTGCATCTGCAGGAAACAAAACACACACAGATCCTGTAAGCAGGGAGGGAAACAGGCTCCATCCCAACGAGCGGCGTGCAACAGGGCATCTGTGTGATTGATATGCGAGGGGGGCGACCAGATCCTGCAGATAAGGAGGCGAACCTGAAGTTAGAGGCAGAAAGGAAAAGATCAGAATGCCTTTAAAGTGAGAACGGCTCTGCTCTGGATGGAACCATCATCTGATCCGATGATCTGCTTCCTCTCAGGCTGCAGCAGCGTCTCCCCACCAGCCTCCCTCCTCATGCAGCAGCAGGACCCCCGCTTTGTCTCCCCTCACCACTGTTGCATAACTCTACTACAACTGGGTGAGGGTTTGTATCTACAGCTATGACATCACCTCCCTGCTCCTCATCCTGCAGCGGCTCCATCATCATCAACACCACCAGCAGGAAAATCAAACCCACAGACCCACAGATGCTCACCTGCAGCCAGCTCAGTCCACGCTGGACGGACATGCGCACTGTCAGCCTGCGCTTTAAGCAGGGAACGCTGCGTCCTAACAGGTGACGCACACCTGGGGAGGCTTGAAGGAAAAGCAGGCGCTGCAGGACCAGACGACCAGCCGCAGCCTGAGTCCTGGGAGGAAGCTGCAGGGCACGCGCAGTCTGACACAAACACACCAAAAAAAAAAAAAAACAGGAGCAAGCCGCGTGCGCGTGGACAGCGTGGATCTTCAGGTTGTGGCAGCACGTGAACGCCCTGCGAGAGAGGGCGGAGTCAGGGAAAACCCCTCTGCAACGCTCGGCCGGGTAGAGCCACTAACCGCCAGCACGCGCACGCGCACTCACAACATCGTGTCGTGGACGCGCCCGGGGTTTACCAACGGCTCGGGGCTCACGCGGACACCACGCAGAAGGGCGCGGACACGGCCCGGGCGGCGCGCGGACCCCATTACCGGATGACCCTCTCCGTCCTCCTCCTGCAGCGGGTCGAGCCGCCGCTGCAGGCGGAGGACGGAACGCGGAGCGGCGGGCTGCTCATACTCACAGGCGCAGGTCCGGTTCGGTCCGGTCCAGCACGGCTTTCAGTGACGGAGTGGGGGGAGGGGGGGTCAGCTCTGGTTCTGCTTCACCTTCTACCTCACTTTCAGACAGGCCCTCTGACGTCAGGGGGGTCCCGTCTCCGCCTCCCAGACACGAGGGGGGGTGTCCCCGGCCTTAAGGGGGTTCCTGACGGCCGCCAAAACCTGCAGGTTTCCCGCCTTCTGAGCGGAGGTCCAATCAGCGTCGCTCAGCGGGAGCCCCCCCTGCCGGACCCCCACCCTGCCTCTGCTCGGCTCAGAGTTCAGGACTGACGGTTTTCCCGGAGGTTCCTTGTTGTCAGGTCACGTTGTTCCCCTCCGCCACCACCGACCGGGCTTCCCCCTGCACACAGCCCCGCAGCAGGGGCCGAACAGCCGGGGAAGACTTCCGGGGCGGTGCCCGGTGTGCGGAGGCCTCGGCCGGTCCAGAACAAGCAGGAAAAGCGTCCTTTAGCTCCCAGAGAGGGAATCCAGCCTTGAAGCTGCAAACCCAAACAGCCACAGGATCCAGAACAAAGACAGCTGCAAAAAACAACAAGCACAGAAATAAAAATCTGAACTAAGCTGAGGAAAAGTGATAAAAAAATAATATCAGTGATTTAGATAAACATTTAAATGTATTATTTTAGTATAAACTGCCAACTGCTTAAAACATTTTATTCAGTTATCTATTTATCCCTGGTTCTTTACTGATTTATTTATTTGGCAGTTTACATTAATAAGCATTCCTGCAAATCAGAATCCAGAATCAGCCCAAAGGCAGTTTTTCATCTGTTGTTCCTGGACTGATCTTAAAACTACATAAAAACACAACAGTTAGAATTCTATAGTGAAAAATATAAACAGCAGTTATAACTAGAGGTGTAAATCACATCCATCATGGCGATTCGATTTTGTATCGATTTCCTGACCCAACGATTCGATTATTTTCGATACTCAAGAATACACCACGATACGATTAATCGGTTAATTTTTTTTATTTTTTTTTAGACCTTACAGGCTAGACAATGTTTCAAGTTTGAAATAAATCAATGAAAGCTGTAATATCGTTATGCATTTTTTAAAGAAACAACAGCAATTATCAGAAGTAGAAAAGTTGCATCAAAAAATACTGCACATAATCAGTGCAATGAGTGCAATGAAATACCTCGGCTCCAGACGTCCCGCCCCCTCCACAGACGCTCCGCTGCTCTTCTCCCAAATTGTAGCTGACCGCAGACAGCGCCGCAGACAGGAGGCCGGCTTGTTTTGTTTTTATGACCAAAATTGCGTAAAACAACTCGTAAAGATGGACCAGCTAGAAGAGAGAGGTGTGCGAGAACGCTGGGACCCTTTTTCCACCTGGATCCCTGCTCCGTTGTCTGACAAACTCGCCCCCACTTCCTCACCGCCTTGGCAGTATCTAGACCCACAGCGAACTCAGATTTCAGCT